ATATAAATATATTATAATATTAAATAATAATAATAATTAAAACAAATTTTTTTGATTTCTAAAAATCAAATATTTTCTTTTTTAGAAAAAGAAAGAAAAAAAAGAAAAAAGAAGCTAAATATTCTCTTTTTTATAATTTTTATAATTTTATTACTAATATATAATTATATACATAAAATATATATAGAACTTGTTTTAGAAATTAATATACTTACTCTATTTAATTCATCAATTTTATTGTTACGTAATTCTAAGTCTGAAGTGGCCTGAGTTTCAAATTCTTGTATCCTCTGGCAAGTAAGTTCTGTCTGAAATATAAATAATACATTTTATGATAAATAAAAATAAATTACTGTAACATCTGATACATTTGTCAACATAGTTCATAAATACCAGATACCTTGTTGCACCCAAATGGACGTAACATGCAGATTAAGTTTTGTGCAACATTTTGATAAATTCATCTAGAAAATTGATCAGGTTACATCCTTGATAGATGTTTTTGATAAAATTAGTTCTACATTTTATATAATTTAATGTGCTAGCCCTTTTGCTATTAAAAGTAAAACTGCAGAGCAAAACCCAAACATATAGATAGAACAGAACTACCATACAGGCAGCAAGGAAAACACCAAAAATGTATGCATGTATGCATGTACGATGAAAAATTGTAGGACACTGTATACTCCATACACATTTTGTTTCTTCTCTATAATACTTAATACTTGTATATTGAAAAATAAATTTTTTCAAATTGAAGTAATTTTGAAATATAATAATACTATAGCCAAATACATGTCAAAAATGGCAAACATGCACACCTATTTTTAATTTAGAAATTGAAATAAATGGAAATAAAATAATTTTAATGATTTAAAAGCGAAACAAGATTTTTCAAATAAGGAGTGACATTACAAGGTAGCCTGCACTCCTATGATAACAAATGGATACAGTGCTACAGTTCAGTCAGAAGTTAGCTGCAAATTTACTGCAAACATCTGACAAGAAATGCCCATTAGAGAACTAATTTTAAGAAATTAAAAAGTATATAATATACAAAATATATTTTTTAATATAAAAGACCGAGATAGAAATAAGACATAGTAAGAAAAATTCAAGTAAAAGAAAATAAGAGAAATATTTATAAATGTATTCCCCAATCAAAAAAAAAAAAGAGAGAGAGAGAAAAAAAAGTACAACAAGAAACCAATATTTATCCTTTACAAGATAAATTTATTTTGAAAATATGCATTTTCTGCATATAAATTTAATTACATAGACATTAAAAACAGTCTTAAAATCATTATTTATATAGGCATTAGTAAAAAATTAAATTTTCAATTTAAATTATTTAAATCATTTCTATAAAAAATAAACATAAGATTTTAATATAGTTATAGATTAAATTTTTATGGGTCGTTTCTTATAAAATGCTTGCAGGAATTACCGAATTTTGCTTACATTTGGGGTGTTAGTCTTCGCTTGCCTGACCTGGCTTGTCCTACTGAGGTTGGTAGGCCTTACCTGCACCTGCTTGCTGACCATTGAGCCTGCAGGTTGTGTTGAGGCTGGTGGAGGAGGAGGTGGAGGTTGAGGATGAGGTCTTGGCGGCTGCATTAGTGAAGAAAATTCTGCCACTGAAGAATTGGGTGTTGTTACTTGCGGTGAAAGGAGTTGTTGAGGCGATGGTGGATACTATTAAAAAATAATGAAATA